CAATGAGCTAGATACATACAGATGGCAATAGTAATGAGCTAGATACAGATGACAATAGTAGAAGATAAACCTTCCTTCAGCAGGTGCCTTTAGTTGTTATGATATTTCGATGCCTTTAGTCGTGACTATTTTAGAAGGAGAACACTGGGTAATTCAAACAAACTTCAGACGCAAAAAGCACAGTTCAAACAAATTTATGATACGAATACATAAATTAATAATTTGAAATGATAGTAATCATAATATAATCTAGAACTAACAGGAAACTGCAGATTTTGTAACTCAATCAACGAAGTTTAGGTTTAAACAAAGGATTACTTACCACCACCATAAGTACATAAGACATGCTTTGGTGTGCAAAGAAATTCTGAAAGAAACATACATAGAGGTAAGATCTGCAAGAACAAACTTAATCATTAAAGGATTTAGAGAATAAGTCAGTAAAGAACTCTCAGTCAACGTTGAAGAATAATAAAATATATTAAACTTTTCAAAATTACTATGCTAACCATTTAACTATAAAGATAGATCAGCTTTTAGATTTAAAAAGTGTATTGTAGGATTTCATAATAATAGAGAAGATTGAAAACAAAATTAAGAAATAATAATAACAACAAATCCATTGCATTATTCTTATTCATGATGCTACTAGTATCACAAAACGTCTAATGTCTAAAAACGCTTAACGGTACTTCTAGAATCAGGTCTATATATGAAACACCATTTTTCATATGTACATTAAAGTATATTCAGTGACGTATATACAACCGAAACTAGTTTTTTCTTCGAAGACTATACTTTTCTATAGCTAAAGAATTAAAATATTCTAAATAAGCGAGTGTTTTTCGAATAAATCAACGAGTGACTTAGTAAGTGTATTATGAACTAGTGATTTCGTACAATATATTATAGACGAGTGCTTTCGAACGTGCATTATGGGCAAGTGATTTGTACGATGTATCGTTAAAAACAGAGAACGATTACAAAAAGTATTTAAGTCTTTTAGGCTTACAACAAAATGCGAATGCATGAAGACGATATTTTATTAATCTGTTTATTTGTGAAAATTTATCGATAGGAAGTATTAAAAAATACTTTTAGGGAAACTATTATATTTTACAGACGTCAGTAGTTCAGCGACTAAACGATGCCGCTGTCTGGGATTACGCAACTGTTACGTAATAAACAAATGATACCGTTTGAGGTTTATATAACTATTAAGTAATATGTAAAGTAGGCCAACACCTGAGGGGTACTAATTGTGGAACCAGAGGACGCTGCTGTCCTTCGGAAGATGGTGTCATCATAGTTCGATACCAGAGGGCCTGTTACTGTAGGCGGATGCTGTTTCTAAGGTTCTATAGGTGGATGGTGTTACTAAGGTTCTTTAGATGAATGGTACTACTAAGATTCTATAGGCAGTGGTGTTACTAGGCTTATGGTCTTACTAGGGTTCTATAGATAGATGGTCTTACAAGGCATATTACATGCATTTTACAAAGGCAGATAGTGTTTCTATAGGTGGATAGCCCCTCGAGGTGGATTTCTGTACGTGGTGAGGGGACCTCCTAGAAAAGGTTCTGTATGCTAGGGTCAACTAAGTACCAGTGTTGAACGTTTTCAACAGGTGTTGTGGACATTGTGTCTGATGTTGGTGTTTGGGTATGGTGCCCACAAAACCTGGCATAGCAACAATGTCATTGTTTAGCGTTGTAATGCTTCCTCTCGTAGAGCTCCATGGTGGGTGGGGTCAGTGGGCACTGAATATTCTCCATTTCTTATGGATCCCTCACCAAGTGACCCCCAAAAAACCTTAAAAACACAAAAATTGGAAAGTGGCCACATCTAGCAGACTCTGTTCCACAGTCACCAACCCAGTTGGGTCCTGTGCCTCCTTTTTTAATCTTGCATTTTCTGTCTGACAAATCTTTAGGGCAAACGTCTCTCTTTTTCATTCAGAAGGGACTGGAAGGGCTTTGCTGGCTCTCCAAAGTCAGTCAACAAGTCACATTCTGGTGACATCTTGGTCGAGACATCTACAGCACAACATAGCAACCTATTCCTCAAATCGAAGTCTATATGGGATATACCTATTGATGTTACTCCCCATGCTACTTTGAATTCCGTCTGTGAAGTAACTGTTGAGAGGGATTTACTTGACATCCCCGAGTCTGAGATTCTCGCTGGTTTCTACAGCCAAGGAGTTTCAGCTGTTCAGCGTATTGCCATTTGTAAAGATGGAATTATGCAGCTTATCCAGATTCTTATTTTAACGTTTACATCTCCACATCCTCCTGCCTCTATCAAGGTGCATCCCTACATTCCTAATTGTCTAAGGTGTTTCCAGTATCACAAGTTCGGACACTCTGAGACATCTTATCGTGGTTCTTTGACGTGTGCTTGTTGTGGTGGCAAAGGCCACAATGCCTACGAGTGTCAACTGGACCCTCACTGCATCAATCGCGATGGTTCCCACTCCTCTTACTTTCGTTCTTGCCCTAAGTGGGTGAAGGAAAAGGAAGTATGATTCTTGAGAACTGTAAACCCCATTTCTTACCCCGAGGCTCGGAAGATGTTGTCCTCTCTTCCATCTCAGACTTGTGGTGCTGCACACTATTCCACTGCTACAGTGGGAGTGCAGAAAGATCTTTCTATGCCTCCAACAGAGTCTTTCTTTCACCATGTAAAGAGTCTTTTGCTCTCAATGGTTGCATGAGTTGACAAGTCCACATTTACTCCTGTCTCTATCCCCACCATTAAATCCAGTGACTACTCGGATCCCTCTCAGTCAGCCATGAGGTGCAGAACCATTATTGAGTCACGCCCTCAGTCACTGGAGTCACCTTCTTCCGACAGTGATATGCCAAAACGTCCTAAAGCATGTTCCATGGAGGACAATAGACCTCTTTGTACTAAATAAAAACGTTATGCCTCAAACATAGGTTCTCCACCCAGTTATTCTCCATGAAAGTAACAATAGCTACTTTGATACAGTGGAACTGTAGAGGTTTTCGGTCTAATTTGGTTGACATTAAGGCCTTGATCAATTCCTATCACCCCGGGTGTCTCTCTTTATAAGAAACATTCCTTTGGCCTGCTGATACTATCACATCTTGGCAGTTTTCCTTGAACAGGAATGACAGATGGTGTGATGGATGAGTTCATGGTGGTGTGGCACGTACCCACTATGTCTGTACCACTAGATATGTTCCTGGAGGCTATAATCATCCGTATCTCTATGGATCATACCATCACTGTGTGTTCTGTTTACCTGTCTCCAGGAGATACTTACAATCAAGTATCCCTTGATCATTTTATTGACCTGCTGCTGTCTCCTTTTTTCATGTTGGGAGACTTTAATGGATAGAATCCCATTTGGGGTGGTTACTGTTATCTTTCCCTCTTCATTACTGGTTCTTTCACCTATTTTGTTACTGCAATTGATTCCTCCATTTGTTCCACTTTACTTTTTATCAAGAGGCAGTGTTCATTTTCCCACCACTCCTTCACCTCTCTCTCAGAACTCGATCCTGCTATGGATAGTCTTCCATCTATTAACGACTGGATGGAGGCAGTAACTGATTGTATTATTCAAGCAGCTGTTCATTCCATCCCAAAACCTTGACAAGTTTCCTACAGTATTCTCGTCTATGGTGGACACCTGCCTGCCAGTGAGCATGGAAGGCTCAGAAATGGTCTTGGGATATCTTTCACAAGTATCCCACTCATTCCAACTGCATTACTTTCCAGCAAACCCATGTCCATGCTTGGCTAGTCAGTTGTTAAAGCCAGAAGGAACCTTGCAATAAGTTCACCACCAGCATCTCTTCTACCACCAGTTCTAAGGTCGTCTTGGACAAGATTTGGAAGGTCAGTGGGAAGTATGCTTATCATCCTCTTTCCGTCATGATCTCCAATGGCCATGAAGTTGCTGATGTACAGAGTATCGTCAATACTCTTGGGGAGTGCTTTTCCCACCTTTCCACTACTTTTGTCTCTTCTCCCACCTTCTTGGCCATCAAGTCTTGGGCTGATAGATCGCCACCTTCCTTTCGGGCAGATCATCTCTATGATTATAATCACCCATTTACACTGATGGAACTTAAACTCACTCTTCATCATTCTTGCAGTACTTTGGTCAGATTTGATGATATTCATTATGAGATGCTGCACCATCTCTCTCCTGTCTCTCTTCCTCTTCTTCTGGTTGTTTTGAACATTTGGCAGGAGAATTATTTTTCAGATGCTTGGCACAAGGCTATTGTCGTTCCTTTTTTGGAGCCTGGGAAGTATTTCAAGATTCCTTCTAATTATCGTCCTATTGCTTGGACTAGCTCTCTCTGTAAGGTTTTGGAGAGGATGGATAATGTTCATCTTGTTTTGTTCCTTAAATTAAACAACAACCCAATGTGGTTTTTGTTAACAGCACTCTACCGTGGACCATTTGATTTGTTTCAAAATCTTGATCAGGGAAGCCTTCCTCAAGAGAGAGCATCTTCTTTCTATATTCTTTCATCTTAAGAAGGCTTATAACACTACATGAATGTTTAGTATTTTGCAAGACCTCCATTTCTATCAGTTGCATGGCTATTTGCCCAGTATTATTATTGTATTTTTACTTGATGAGAGATTCCAAGTCCACGTGGGTTCTACCCTCTCCTGTTCTTTCACACAGGAATTTGGAGTTCCTCAGGGTTGTGTCTTGAGTGTCACTCGTTTCAGTATAGAGATCAATGTTATCAGTAAACAAATTCCTCCTACTGTTGCAAACAGTTTCTATGTTGACGACTTTCACCTTCATTTCTTCTATAAAACCGTTTGCATCTATTTTTGCTGTCAACGGGATTTACACCCTAATCCTTAGCTCTGACTCGGTGGTGTTACTCTTCCCATGGCTCCTGAGATGCAGTTTTTGGACTTATCTTTGGCTCTAATTTTACTTTCATTTCTCACATTAAACAGCTTTGTGTCAAGTGTACAATAGTACTGAACATCATTCACGTCCTCTCTTCTATGCTCCAGATCTATCATGCCCTCATATAATCCAAGCTGGACCATTGGTCTCTGGTCTATAGTTCTGCCAGGACCTCTGCTTGAAGATGTTGGATCCTGTGTACCATCTGAGGTTTCAGCTCTGCAAGGGGGCTTTCTGCACTTCAGCAGTCCTTAGTCTTTACACTGGGTTCCATAAACCTTCTCTTCACCTCTGACATTTGAAACTTTGCATTTTAACGAGCTTCGATTCTTGCCATTGCATTCCACCAAGGGTTGCATCTTCCTTCCTTGGGAGCTTCGCTCTTTCAGAATTGACAGTCAGTCATTCCTTCATTTGTCCTTCATATCCAGGCACAGCTGGCTGAATTGAGT